GTTTCAATGCGACGTAGATAGCAGTGTTCGAATTCCAACAGTTCATCTCCATCCTGCTTTCTTAGTGGCCAAGTGTTTGAGCCGTACAGCAGAACTGGCCGAAATGCTGCAGAAAATACTCGACCCCTCACAGAAAACCGCATGTCGTCGCGGTGCCACAGATGTCTCAAGTTGGCAAATGCAAACCGAGCCTTCCGTATGCGAGCTGACACTTTGTCCGTGATACGTTCACCGGGTGAGATATAGCTCCCAAAATAACCAAAAACTGTCCACTTCCTCTATTACTTCCCATGATAGAGTGAGACTGGGTGCTGGCCCCATACAATCTTCACACAACCGTTCACACTTTGAAGCTGCAAAACTCAAACCGAATATGGTTGCATTGGCACTATCAAACTATCTAGAAAAGCTTGAAACCTACCTGGATGTTCACTTAGTAGTACACTGTTGTCTGAATACTCCAAATTAGACTGTCTACCAACCAGGAATAAGTTGAAGCCGATATCCTCGCAGGAAGATGGGGGTGTTTCCATAATCAGATTACGAACAAAGTTGAATAAAAAAGCAGATGGCTACTAACACGAACTCGTGTGAAAACCTGCCGTAAGAGCGAACTCGGCTTTGGCTATTAGGTAAAAGGGTAATCATAATGAAAAGAATGAAATGAAATAAACAAAAGTGAAAATATGGACTATACAATCGCTACCAGGTCTAAAACCAGCTTGGCTCTCACGCGCCCATTCCTCACGTGCAGGAGACAATCGACGGATTATGACCACAGCTAGAAGTATAGAGGCGTTGTCGAATAAATTCCTTCGTAGTTTTCACCAGATCTGTCATTTTTCCTGTAAATCGGTTATCTGCTTGAATCACGCTTTCCAGTTGGGACCTGGTAACTCTCCCATACCGAACCCCGGCGCTACGGTAACTCATATACCAACGTTGAACCTCCATCTTTAAAAGTCCACGGGGATAATCCGTCTGGACCAGTCTTATTTCCCGGAAAAACATCACGGAAGAGAGATGAGTAGTTTCGGGATAACTAGACACTTGAAACTGAAAAAGAGCTGGATGCTGGAAGCAACTCCCAATATTAGGCTGAGATTTCAAGTTCTTCGATACGCAGGACGGTAAATTTAAATTCCATTAAAAAGAAACAGTACACAATTATTAACATTAGGGAAAAGTAAAGGATGACGCTATTTTAGTCACAAACTTCCAGCCGATATTTTATACTACTTATTATCATCTACGCAGACACAACGTTTCAGGATGGACGGAGGGGCCAATTCTAAGGTAACCTCGTGGGTGGTGTGCTTACGTTCTACCAGTTCGTTTGCTTGTCTGTTTGTTTGTTTAACTTCTGCCCAAGCAGTTTTGTGCGGCAAGTTTGGTTACTGTAGCTTTTTATACTACCTATTATCATCTACTTATGGCGAACACGCTGTCGCAGGTCCTGGAGTGTACCCAGTTTTTTGACTTCCGAAGCGGTGCTATATAGATGGAATGGTAGTTTGTGCCGGTGTTGCATAACATATGTTGCAACGGGTGTCTGCGTAAATGCCACGAACTCTGGTCGTTCTCAATCTGGATATAAACTATAAAAGACCGCCACGACAAGTTTTTAGACGAAGACAATAGCGGCGACACTTGGGTCCGCAACTGCAATCACCGTCGACCAAGGCGCCTCGAGAGGTTCTGTTGTAGATGCTGGGACTGCAAATATCTGAATCCGAAGCGCCTCAAATGGCCGATCGAAAACTGCCACCCCATAGGCAGAGTGGCAGTCACCGCAGGCCCGTGGGTACGTTAGAGTTCGATTCCTCCGGAAAGACATAAGGATATATAGATATGCATTCCTCCAGTTGGTATAGGATATTCAGATTACTTTAAATTCGAACTTACGAATTCATCCAGTTTGCGCCAATGCTCATCTGCACGTATATAATCCAGCAGCACACGCGAAACCATCCCAAGCGGTTGTTTGCCCAACGCATTCTGGAGGGAGGAATGATACAAGTGACACGATTCATGAGAAGACAACACAATTTACTTATGTATGCCAGTAAAGTAGAAATCGATACTTTAACAGCACCTGACAGGATAACGATATGCAACAACAGTGGATTTCACTATCATGATTCATTTTGCAGATAAGTTTCCATCATCACACGCATTAGCCGCAGACGGTTCAGATCTCAAACACGATTGGATACCGCCCGAAGACGAATCCTTGCGAATGGCAGTGCACAGTAATAAAATGGACTCCACTTTACTGAAATTACCGACTCCATACTGTTGTTTATAAAATCTGATGATTGAGGGACCCAGATATTCCAGTTACAGGTGAAACAGATCTTAGCTTGGTTTGTCTGTCAGCTTTCCATGTGAGTTTCTCTAATTGAGCGAAATGAACGTTCAGTTTCAGGATCAGTTTGTACAACCATTACCCATGCACCTTCGTGCTCAGGTAATGGTTGCTGTATTTGGCTGCCCCTTTGGATGAACCATAGGAGAAACACTGCAGGATTGAAAGTAGAATCGAAGAGAAAATGGAGTTCTTTGGTGGACCAAGGTTGTAAAGAAAGTGAGAAGATGGAGGGACGCCGTTGTTTACGACAGCCATATTCCACGGTGTCGCTAATCGCCGGATACGGTCAACTCGAGATTGCTATCCGGGGAACTTAAACGTTGAAGATTTCACACCATTTTGCGAAGTCTTACTTTGACCAACCTTGGTCTTGTTCCCACGGCAAATATCGCGCGTCGTGGAAACCAATTTAGTGAAATGCTTAACAAATACCCCAATCAACGTATTTTATGGAAATCGAACACCTGTACAACCGCGGTTACGCCAAACTCGGCACTTACCTGAGCACTGCTCGTCCGGTTGGCTTACCAAACTTTAGAATGACAACGTAGACAGCAGTGTTCGAATTCCAACAGTTCATCTCCATCCTGCTTTCTTAGTGGCCAAGTGTTTGAGCCGTACAGCAGAACTGGCCGAAATGCTGCAGAAAATACTCGACCCCTCACAGAAAACCGCATGTCGTCGCGGTGCCACAGATGTCTCAAGTTGGCAAATGCAAACCGAGCCTTCCGTATGCGAGCTGACACTTTGTCCGTGATACGTTCACCGGGTGAGATATAGCTCCCAAAATAACCAAAAACTGTCCACTTCCTCTATTACTTCCCATGATAGAGTGAGACTGGGTGCTGGACCAATACAATCTTGTAGCAACAGTTCACACTTTGAAGCTGCAAAACTCAAACCGAATATGGTTGCATTGGCACTATCAAACTATCTAGAAAAGCTTGAAACCTACCTGGATGTTCACTTAGTAGTACACTGTTGTCTGAATACTCCAAATCAGACTGTCTGTCACCCGGGAACAACTCGGAACCGCTATTCGCTCACAATGTAGGGTTGGTTCTATAACCAAATTTATAAGAAATTCGGTTACATAGGAGCACTGCTTTTTGTGGTGAATTCGTGTGAAAAAGTGCCGTAAGCTCGTACTCTTCTTTGGCTATTAGTATAAATGGATCGCAGTAATGAAATAAACTTCTCGGGCACACCCTCCGGAGAGAGGCAGTACCAAAGTTTGGTGCGGTCGACCAAGTCAAAGTTTCCTTTTAGATCAAGGAAGACACATGGTGGATCTACGAAAAGGATGTCAAAGCTCCAGGATTTGGACTATGCAATTTCGACCATATCTAGAACCAACCTGGTCTTGACGAGTGCACTGATCGCGTGCGGCAGATGATCCCAGCGAGAAGTTTAGAGGCAATGTTGAATAAACTCATCCATCTCTGGTTTCCGCCGTTCTGCCTGTGAGATGTCGTTTTCGATTCCCATTTGGGTAGATGGATTTGCACGACTGAGGAGATCCAACCATTTTCAGCTTTTCACCTCATGTTCACTTTGTCCTTTACACCACAGAATTCACCACTTGCATGATTTTCATTCCCAAACTTGCGATGAACGTTTTGCGGTACTTCGGCCGCTACAGCCAATCTTCCGCGAGATGGGCCTAACCGAGATGGTTCTTTGTCCTTTCGATAACGATGCGGTTGTGAATCGCGCATTTCAAAACCGTGAGTTTGATGTTGATTTAAAAAAGATCAGCGATTTTCTTNGCGAGATGGGCCTAACCGAGATGGTTCTTTGTCCTTTCGATAACGATGCGGTTGTGAATCGCGCATTTCAAAACCGTGAGTTTGATGTTGATTCAAAAAAGATCAGCGATTTTCTTATGCCATGGCGAAGTAGTTAATTAAGCACGCAGTCAATTTGGCAGTACGTTTTTCAGATTAGGCAGACATGTAGCCGGTCTGTAGGCAGATGAGTGAGTAGAAGCGGGAAACACGTACGCAGGCAGACCGACGGACGGCTCAATCGTCACATGACATTCGATTGTGGTCAAACTGGCATGCATGCAATCAACGCGGACATTGGATTGGCTGGGGCCGATTGATATAGTCATGACGTCAGTCCGCATAGCGTGAGTGCGTGCGTGTGCGGTAACAGACAGCACCTGCCAATCGAAGAATCCCGCCACATGCATGCACGACAAACGCTCCAGTCAACTGTAGGCCACATCACCTCTCCTTTCACAAGTAAGTAGGGAATGAGTAGTTCACAGAAGAAAAAGAACAACAAATGGAACACACTGACTGTTTCAATGTCTGAAAGATTCCCATCACAGCATTTAGAACAAACACAGTTTGGCGAAACAATTGTTTTTCAATAATTCCTTCTCAAGCCGTTTACAGATTACATAGGTAACATTAGAAAACAGATCACACAGTTAGGCACATCACCAATCATGAGTAAGAGTTTGTCATCATCAACTAAGTTACGGCATCAGGGTAACCTCCCGGGACCGATCGATCACGGGCCCTACCCGGATCAAAGAGCATCACCCACGCTGGTTAAGATTAGGACAGACCGGATCAATAAACAGCTCCATCCTAGCCCATTTAGTCGACACCGGACGTCGCCTTCAGAGTTGTTTATCGTGTCCCCCACACCAAGTGCAAGGGTGTTCAACTGCGCACTCTAGCAATAGCCGAAGCGATCGGGATAAGAAAGTTAACCGCTGCGCCCAAAAGCGTTTGGTTCAGTCACTCCAACTTCCATGGCCCGTGATCGATCGGTCTCGAGTGTGTCCCCCGTCCGGTTACCCTGATGCCGTAACTTAGTTAAACCAATCAAATGACAAATGCCAGTTGACTATGACGAACTTACTCATGATTGGTGATGCGTGTGATCTGTTTTCTAATGTTACGTATGTAATCTGTAAACGGCTTGAGAAGGAATAACTGAGAGCAATTGTTTCGCCAAACTGTGTTTGTTCTAAACGGAATACAGTTATAAATGTTCGTTTAGGCATGCAAGAGATACGTTGCAGTCAACTGTAACTCACAACAGAAGACAATGCTCAAAATCAGTACCCCGAAACTTCATGCTGTCTTCGGGCGATAGCATATAAAACAGTCTAGATCTAATCAAATCACATCATTGTATCAAAGGAAAATGGGTCGGATGATATTCATTGACCAGAAGAAGCTTCATCTTGCTGGTCCTTCTGGATTCATGTACTACTGGCCTGAACCATATAAGAACAAGTCGCCTCCGGTGGTAGAGTCTACGAAGCGCTTTTTGTCAAGGTCTGGGGGTACCATTGTTGTAGATGGAAAATCTCAGTTCCCGAAAGAAATCAGACAGGTAAATCGTACGTCATAACCTTCCTCCACAACTCAAGAAAAGTGAAACGGGAACCATGATTGCAAAGCACGCGCATACCTACCTCACTGGAATGTTTGAAAACATCAAAACCAGACACTTCAGTCCACAAACAGAATGAGAACCGTATTGAAAATGTCTAAATTTTTAATGACGAGGTGGGTTCGCGCACATTGGAAAAGTAACCAAAAATGCATGCGAATTTACGGGAGCTGTCCTCCATGAATGGAACAATTCGGAAGTTTAGACAACCAGAACCTCATTGAAAGTGGACCTCAGCGGTGTGTTTCATTCATCAGTGATAATGATTAGTGTTAAAACAGTTTTCTCGTCACAAAATTGAACAGAGAAATCAGAAACATGGGTTTGCACAATGTATCCATGGTCATTTCGCTGCATACTGCATACTGCAGTCCAAGTGATTTTTATAGTCAGTGAGATAACAGATTTGAGAGAAAAAACACAAGATCGCTAATCACAGCGGACAACGCAAAGCAAAAACACAAAAGGGGGAATGAGATAGGGCAGGAGATCAATCACCAAGACTAACGATTCGCGTTGTTTACATAGATCAGGTTTGAGAGTGTGAATGGCTAGGGCCTCGTGTCCCCCACACCAAGTGCAAGAGTGTTCAACTGCGCACTCTGGAAATGGCCGAAGCGGTCGATTATATGACTGATTCCCACTATAAAGTTTGGATTTGTACCCTTTCTCTTCAAGATTAACGCTGAGCCCCTATCCCTAAACGTTGATGAAAACAACCCATCTGGGCCAGAGGCCATAAACCTTCGAGAACCTTCGTGGGAAAATTCCATTTCCGATGGAAGACCGATCTCAACTTCGAGTCAATTCGAGTTCGGGAGGGGGATAGCCTGCCACGTAAGACTTCCGGCTTTCGGTTCAGCGCATTGTTTGTTGGTGCGTTGATTGTTCGTCCGTTTTTCGGGATAGGCCCTTAGTCTCATGCACCCAATGAGACAAGCGGAACGCGGAGGGACAGCATCTTATTAGCTGGGGATTGCCCGGCTTGGTTGGGCGGTAGCTGTCCAATGAAATGCAACTACTCCCACCGTCGTGAGGAGGTCCCAGGTCCATCTAGCGGGGTTTCTTGATCGGTAAACTGCCTCTTCCAGTGTTTGTTCGCTGGAGTGACCTCTCCGGGGGCGAGTGTGGATAGAAAAAAGGAGCCAGGAGTTGCCGAAGCAGATGACTTTGTGAGACTGGCCCCTACTCATTGACCTTTCAGGTATGATTGGATGTGCGGCTCTGAAAAGCTATCCTGTGTAGCTCACTGGGTAAGGAGACAGGCAAGCTATTACAAAACGTCAAGATACAGTCCCGTGATGGAAAATGAACATTCACCGTAGGGAAAACTATTATCGAACAATTCCCAAGTACTGCTAGAGACAAAAAGCGCAAACACCACAAAATCGATTCTGAGAAAAGCGCACTTCTATTGAAAGATAGGAATGGAGTGAAAGCGTACAATAGCCATGGAAAACAGTGAGTAGAAAGGCAAATCACACGACGCCAACCAACCCATGGAGATGGTGTCATTTCTGTGATGAAAGCAACGCTTACGAGTGATCGAAATTGCAGAAAGCCCCGTTCCCTTAGGGGTTTGGACAAGAGAGAAATTTGTTCCAACTTTTAAATTGATCGAATATCTGATAAAATGATTAATTTGTCCACTGTTACTCCAAACCTAGTATGATGAAGGAAAAAAGACCTTGTCCCCATAGTCCCGAGATCTTACTGTTCAATTATGCAAACCATCATCCTAGAATCGCAATGCTCAGAGAGAGATTAGACGCGCCCCCCACCCCCACCCCCCAGTCGAGAGAGCGAGAGAGGGAAGAAATTAACCACCAACACGAAAGTTCGTTGGTGGTATTAAAACCTCGGAGCTCGAGAGTCCCTACAAATGACAACCAGATACAACACAGTCGGATATCCCAGACCCGCAGTTTGAAAAACGCATGATTATCGCAAGCAAGCACCAACAAACTGAGATCATTACTGTCACACTCAATT